CACAAGCGGCTCGCCATGGCCCTTGGGGATCGACTTGTTGACGGCACTTCGAGTCTTTTGAGGCACATCAATCTTTCCTTCGGTGATCAGGACAGTCCTCCAAATGTAGTTCAAGAGATCGCTCAGTCCTTCAAGTTCGTGCTTAGAGTAGTATCGTTTGTTGTAGTTCTGTGCGCCGAGGTGCGAGTTATGACCGAAACTGTCTGGCTCGCAGTAGATGGGTGTGTCTCGTGTAAACTGCTCGCCGCTTTGCAGAAGCTCTTGAACTGGACCAGGAATTGGATCTTCTTCCAGATATTTGATGGCGGTCAACCACATGATCTTCTGGAAGAACGGATACCGAAATTGCAAAGCCACCTTGGTGTTCTTCTCGATTTCCAGAATCTTAATCTGCATGCCGTAATGGATACGGGTGAGGAAGTTACCGCCGATGACGAGGCTGTCCTCGGGAGTCCAGACTGCGTGGATCCAGCCAGAAGGAATCAACATGGTATCTCCAGGGTACAGGTCAACTCGGTAACATTCCTTGACCTGTTTGCCAAGCCAGTCGTGTCCTTGATTTGGAGAAAGACACCAGTCTTCGTATTTCTTGAGGTTTTGCTTTGTTGGTGGGATGAAGAAGAAGACCTTCTTTCCCTTGACGATATGGTAATAGACGGATGAGCCGCCAAAGTCGATGTGGAAGTCGGTGAAGCAGTCTGCGACAGACATAAGGCAGTAGAACTGCACTGGGGGCGGCGCAGACTTGTCATCCTCCCGCCACACGGAGTCTTGGAGGTCCATGTCTCTAACAGCCTTGGGCCGCCGTATGAGCTTTCCGAGCCTGCTTCGAGATACCTCCAAACTGATGACATTCCGTACTGGCTTTTCTCCTTGTTGCTCGTAGTAGTCAGCCCACTTCCCCATAGTCCACTTCTTGCCTTCGCCTTCTTGTGCTTTGACATCGATAACGGGTACGGGTTCGTTTGGGCCGTAGAGTTCCGCCACACGGCGAACCGTCAGACCTTTGGGTATGACCATATCCAAACTGTCTTGACCGTCGTCGGCGACTGTATCGTACCCAATGTGTGATCCCGGCCCGTCTCCTTGCCCCTCAGTGTTTCCCATGACAACGTCTTCTTCCGTTGACACCGCCGAAGGATTCATGTCGCCAGGAATCACAATCGGCTCCTTGAACCCGTTCATCTTCTCGAGGAAGTCGCCGGTGATGAGGTGGGCCGGGACCCGCGCAAAGGTCTCGGGGGTGAATTCGATATCGCCATTCTTGAAAGCTGAGATATAGTGGTGTTCCGGGTTATCGTCTGAGGTCTTGAGAACACCCTCGTTTAGACCGGCGTAGTCAACAGTTGTGTGGGCTCTGACGGATTTACGAACCTCTGGACCATGTTAGAACTATAAGCCCAATGTGCGTCGGTAGACCTACTCGTTGTTTCACCAAACTTGGGTCTACACGGTTCGCAGTAGAATTTGTTTACCTCCCGTACCTCCCGTTCGCTGTTGAAACCAGCGCAAGGGTAGTGGTACCACTCTTTGCAGCCATCGCAGCCGATCCATTGCTCGCCGTCGCCGATTTTGGTAAGTGATTCGGTCGATTTGCAATGGGCGCAAATGAGTTCTGGTTCGACTGGAGCGGGCGCAGGCTGCGCGACAGTAGCAGCGGGAGCAGGGACGACTGTTTGGTTCCCAAGAGGTAGTGATTTGGCTCGTGAGTAAGTCGAGAGCGGCTGGTCGTCTGGTTTTGGTAGAGCGGATATTGAGAAGGAATGACGACGTGCTTGCGAGACCGAGGTTTGGGCTGGTTCAGCTAAAGGTGCCGTAGGGATGGAGCTGTCCGTTGGGACCGCAGCAGACTGGTCGGCGGGCAGACTCAGCGGCGACTGAAGCTGATCCGGGGCTCCAGAAGTACTTGTAGATGGCGCACTTTTGGGCTTGGGGGTCGACTTCTTCCGTTTGCTGCTGGCTGAGGGGGTGCTACGAGATGCGCGCGCCTTCCCTTTTGGCAAGCCCTGTCCCTTTTTCGCCTTTGGCTCTTCTGAAGGAACGGCATCTTGCATCTCAGGCGGTGGAACGATTGTAGGGACTTCCTCAGGCGGTGTATGTGTTTGCGCAGCCGAGGTGGTCTGGGCTATGTCGGAGGGTGCGTCTAAAGGGTGTTTCAGGTCGACGGGTGCCTGCGTAGGCTGGCTGTAGTGGTCGGATGACGGTGGTGGCGGCGGAGGCGCTAGAAAAGGATTTTCGGGCGCTTGCTTATGTTGTATTTGTTGGACTGGTTGCGATTGTTGTAAAGGTTGTGAAGGCTGCTCGGCCGGCGCTGATTGTGAAAAGACCAACCGCTTTGCTGTCGAGGGCGGAGACTGCGCAAGTTGTGTTGTAGAAACCTTGAAGAAATCCAGCAGCAGCTCAGCTTCAGCACGCCGGTCATCAGGCACGGCGCCGATCTGATGCATGCCATTGCCGCCGTCGGCCATGTGCTCGACACTATAGGACCAGCCCGGGATGTGGCTCGTAGCCGGTCTCGACTGAGACTGCCCATACTGCGGAGAGCCGTAGACCTCGGAGCGCGCTCTCTTCGCAGGTCTCTCATCGTAAGAATATATGGGGTCCCTAGGGGAGGCGTGTACGGGGGCGCGTTCGCCGATCGGGTAAGGGAGGGTCGTGGGCGACGTCGCTGGGTGTGAAGCATGGCGCGAAAAGTCAGCATAGGGCGGGTTTGTGTGCTGTCTGGTGACAGCGACATCTGCGAGGGCCTCAATGGGCGATGCCTGCGCCAGAGAATACTGCGGCGGCGGAGGTGCGGAGCGCGACGAGTGCCCGTACGTCACAGCCGGGGACGACTGCTCCGCGGACGCGCGCGCACCCTCTCTGAGAGTGAAAGCCCTGTGTGGAGCATCATTGATATGCCTTGTACCTGCTAGCGACGCGGTTGGGATATTCGCATTGCCGGCGGGGTGCCCTGTCGAGGGCTCTGTGGGCGGTAGGATGGGCGACAGCGGCTCGTAGATGGGCGGCGGAGGTGTAGGAGCGCGCGCCGAAGCTTGCCTGTACTGCTCCTTGAAGGACGAGAGGCGCTTCATGGTGGTCGTGGGCGCGGAGGTGGATGGACTGGGGCTTCGGAGGTGCGAGGTACTCGCCGGTTTGGCGTCTCAGACAGATGCGCGGCTATGGAGCAGCGGCACTATCGGCGGAGAGACGGGCGGAGTAGGAGCTTAGCATGGGCATGTCCTGCGTCGATGCGACTGTGGGCGCGGTCGCGGATGAACGAGCGTAGGGGGAGGGTTGGGAGCAGAACGATGGTGGTGGAGAAGTCGGCGGGGATTGTATTGGGAATGTTGCGACCACGACCAGCACAATCCAACCACGACTCGGCCACGCCAGCGCCGACGACACACTCAGCGCGCGATAGGTAGGCGAGAATGCGGCGGCTTCACAGAGAGCTCTAAGCGCATGTGTCAGTGGTGTGCAGATGGTTGGCCGCTGCGGGAGCTCTGGGGAGGAGACAAGCCGCTTCATTCGCTGCAAGTCCGCGTCTCCGATTCGAGCGCTCGATTCTACGGCAAGGAGTGCACCCATCACCATATCACCTCCAAGTGAGATATCTACATTTCAGTGCATTCCCATAATCACTAGATGCCGATTTTCCCATTTCACAGCCTCCCGTTTGCGGCGCATGTGCATCGTCATCTCGGTGCTGCATGAGTCGCTGTTCTTGGTATGCGGCCGCCACGTGATGCAGCTCGGCGCTCGGACGTGCACGCCATCCACGATTGATCCCGCATGTTCACCAACTTCACTTCTCACTACAACCCCCCCACCACCCGCCTCCCATTACAAACCCTGCAGCCCGTCCTTTACCGTTCATCACAGTCGCCAAAGTATGAGTCGAGGAGGAAAATTGGCCCCGGAAGTCAACCGGTACGTCCGCCATGCCGCATCGCGTGCCAGTCGCAAGGCCCATGCGACCAACTCACACGATATCTGCGCTAACATGTCACGTCTACAGAGCTCTCTTCGTAAAGAACCTGAGGTTAGTAGATGCCCGAGGTATATAATCTGTCACGCGCTAATTCTCCGCAGCTTCAACGTCACCCCAGAGGAACTCTTCGACCTCTTTGGCAAGTTCGGCCCAGTGCGGTACGTCGTCTCCCTCATGCGCTGGCGCATCTTGGCCTTCGCCGTCATTTCCGGTCACTGACGTTAGCACAGCCAAATTCGCCAGGGCATCGCCAACAACACCAAGGGCACCGCCTTCGTCGTCTATGAAGACGTAATGGACGCAAAGTCGGCTTGCGACAAGCTCAACGGCTTCAACTTCCAGAACCGGTATCTCGTTGGTACGTGGCAGGCGCTTCTCCGACACAGCAATCACTAACAGCAGCAGTATTATATCACCAGCCAGATAAGATGCTCAAGGCCGCGAATGATCTCGCCGAGCGCCAAGAGAACTTAGAAAAGCTCAAAAAACAACACGGTATTGATTAGGGGTGCGCGAGGACTCAGGAACAGGTGACATCGCGTGAGCGAAGTAAAGACAAAACTCCTGAGGGCCTCAAGACCGATAGCGTAATCTCTAGAAGCTCTTCGAGCCGCCGCGGCGACACGCGTACCTCGACGACCGATTCGATTTCAGCGGAAAAGACCGGCACTCCTTCCCCGACGACTACACCCGCCTGCCGTAGCTGCGACTGGCGTACTGTAAAACGATCGTTGAAGGGTATATTCAAGTCGGCACACGGCGTTAAGAGGTCATGAAATGTTCACGAACCATGACAGATTGCTGCATTTTCTTGGAGTGGGACTTTACTTAGGATAGCTGGTGATGCATAGGGCTATAACAGACTGCAACAGGCCCCGGCTTCCTCTACAGCGGGCAGTCGGTACTCATCCGACTAGGAATCAAGGACTTCTGGTTCCAGCAATTACATATGACGCAGTGACATGCTAACACTGATTTTTGAAGGTAACTTCCTCAAGGTTCTTCGCACCTTCCACTTTCGGCTGCATCACGGGACTAGAACCCCCATCTGGCCGAGCTCGTGGTTTTCGCCAACCCAGTCGAAGCCTCTCTCAAAGTCGTCCATCTTGAACTCCGTCACCGAATCAAACCCTCTCTCTTTTCCAAGTTTCAACACTCCCGCTTCGGCCACCTTGATCATTTCCTTCACATCTTGACCCCGGTACATGGCATGACCATGAACCGTGATACTCTTAAACACGATATCCATCATCGGAATCTCCACATCCTTCATCGCGCCGCCACCAAAGCCCATGATACACGCTCGTCCGTACTGCTTGAGCGCGCCAAAAGCAGCACGAACGTGTGTACTCCCCTCCGCTCCCATGGGCGTGAACTCGAGAAACGCATCCACGGTACCATGCTTCTGCAGATTCTTAACATCGACCTCGACGTCGTTCGTTCTCAGGACACTTGACACAAGCTTCGGATGCGCATCCACCAGTCGCTGAAGCGCGTGCTCATTCCTTCCCGTCACCAAAACAGTCGCTCCCATCGCAACTGCTACGCCCACAGCAGCACCTGAGAAAAGCCCCGTAGCAGGCGTAACAACCAGTCTCTCCCCGGGCCTCAGCCCAATCCCCTTCAGGCCACTATACGCCACAACATCAACACTGAGCTGCACCAACTCTGGTATCGTATACCTCAATTCCCCACAAAGCTTCTTTTCATCCAGCGCCCAGGTGTTCTCCAAGGGCGCCTTAACATACTCCGCGAACGTAGCGTACCGCCAGTTATCCGCAAAGAGCTTCTTACTCCCCTCACTCGTGCCTTCCATTGCACCCCAGAAGATCCAAGTGTCAGCGTCGTCGCGGGCGCGGATGAAGGGCTCGAGGAGGACAAGTTGGCCTTCTGACAGACATGTGGTGTCGGGGCCTGTAGCGGCGATTCTTCCCACGGCTCGTCCACCGGGGATCATGGGGGTGGGGTAGGTGAATCCTGCTTTGCCGGAGAGGATACCGGGGGTTTGGTGTTGAAGGAGGTTTGCGAGGATTTTGACGACGACGGAGCCCGGGCCGGGGGTGGGTGTTGGGATCGATTTGGGGATTAGGGGGCCGTTTTTGGTTTCTTGGAGGAGGGCTTTCATTGTTGGGGGGAGGGTGTTGGTGGACATGTTTGGGTATGAGAAATTGTCAACGTCTTGATGAATGAGTGGTTGTTATGGGACACAATTCGGAATCAGATTTATGTACCCTTTCCTCTATCCTACCTGCCAGGTTTTCCGTACTTATACCTATCCATGACCACATTGGTGTGCACCCTCCCTGCCATGTCATCCAACTCGTTCTACTCACCTATCTCCTTCTCGCGCAAAGGCCGTCGACCTTCCCTCGGAGTTTACGCATATTACGCGCTTCATACCTTAATACATTTGCCCCATCCTAGCGATTGAATCATGCTCGCACCACACCTCCGTCGTTGCTACCCAATCAACCAATCAGACCGCCTCGCGACTGCTGTATACGAACGCGGGTTAGACCCGCTCCTTAGCGCGGAGTCCTGTGGACCCTTCCTGCAGTCGTAGTATGCAGCACGAGCTCATCGCTTACGCCCTGCTGCCACCGGCGATGAAGCAGCTAAACCCCGCGTTTCTTCCGTCTCGTACAGTCTTACACGCATGTCTAGGTATATAACGACGGCATGGACTCTGTATACGAGCGCAGGTTAGACTGCATCTACCCACCTCCAATCCCCTCCCTGTTCGCAGGCTTGCCGCACACCTCATAGGCACTCCAACAAGAACGGAACTCAAATCGAATCGACGCTATGCCTGCTCTCGTACCCAAACGCAGCGGTTTGTCAGCGGAAAAGGGTGTAAGGAAACGCCGCTGGAATGCGAAATCGAGGAATGGGTGCCAGAATTGCAAGTTGAGACGGGTTAAGGTTAGTTGTCTTGACAGTAACTATGGTTTGGGCTGATTGGGCTGATGGACCTTGGGTAGTGTGATGAGACGAGGCCGCGGTGCGCGAAATGCGTGACTTATGGCGTGGCGTGCGACTTTGAGGGTCAGGAGGGACAGTTGGACGTGCATATGGAGGGCGTGGGGAGAGTTGATTTCGGCGAGCTATCCACGATTACTCTGGACCATGAGATTAGCGGAGCGACTCGCACGCCGTGGAGCCCGATATCGTTTAACAGCGTTGTGACTTCTATGATTGGAGATTCTCTTCGATCTGGAGCGTCGGAACTGAGTTCGCATATGGGTACTGGGCAGCCGTCCTGGGAGTTTTCCGAGAGTCATCTCGAGATTCTTGCGAGGTTCCAGAGTAGGACGTCTTTGACTGTTGGAGGTATGGTATAACATTGAGGCCTTTTGAGTATGCGATCGAACTGACGGAATACGCATAGGCGAGAGAATGGCCCCAGCATGCAGAGACATAGTATGCCGCCTCACATTTAATGTACCTCCCCACATCCATTCTCAGCTGTACAAACTAACTCCGGGTCCAGCACCCCTTCCTAATGCACATGATCCTCGGCTTGACCTTGATGCATGACTCTGTTCTTGCCCACTCTCCCGCCCAAGCTGCTTTCCTCCAAAGCGCCTCCCTTCGCCACTGGTCCCACGCCACAACGCAGTACCAGCGTCTCCTCTCCGGTGCCATTCCGCCATCCCAACGCGACGCCATCTGGGCCACAGGCGTCCACCTGGGCGCAGCATCTTTCTGGTACCTTGAATCGGACGACCCCCACGCCGTCTGGCCGCTAAAGCCTTCCGAACCAGGTGACCTCGCCTGGATGAAGATCGGAGAGGGGAAACGACATCTATGGCGTATCGCAGATCCGACGCGGGAGGACAGTGTGTTCAACCGTGTTTTAAAGAAGAAGACAGGCCCGTGTCCTACGCCGCCCGAATGGATGGTGAGCAACGACACTAGTCTCGTGCCTGAGAAAGTCAGGCTAGTCTTTGGTGTCACGGAAGAGTCTAATAGGGATAACAACGTCTACCATTTCCCCGTCCTCATTCTCTCGCGGATCCAGCATCTACGCCTGTCGCATGGCAATGTATTGGATTTCCTATACTTCACCGCGTTTCTCACGCCCGAATTCCTGGCCTTACTAGAACAGAAAGACCCTAAAGCTGTGTTTCTTTTGGGCTGGTGGTTTAGCATGTGTCGCGATGGCACGCTTTGGTGGGTGACGAGACGAGCGAGGGTCGAAGGAGAGGCTGTGAGGATTTGGTTGGGCAGGACGGATAAGCGTCTTTTGGGCTTGCTGGAGGAGCTGAGTAAGAGGAGGGTAAACGTTCTGGAAGAGAAGTTCTGGGCAATGGAACGGGTTGTGGATGAGGATGGCTTTGAGACTAATTGGGCGTTGGATTCTAGAGGTAGGATACTGACGGTGGCTAATTGAGGTGGAATGCTACTCTTTTTTCATACCCTCTTCTCGACGTATACGGGCCATGAATGCGGAACAACCGTGAAGTAGGCCTTCCACTGCCAGTCTTGTGCGGGGTCCAACTGCTTGATCTTGTAGTCCCTAACCAACGTTGCTGCGATCTTCGCGAGTTCAATCTTAGCGATGTTTTGACCTGGGCAGCCTCCATAACCTGCACCAAACTGCGGTGATCAGTCAGCATATACGTGAAGCCGCCGGTGTACACTCAGTACAAGTACAAGTATCACTCACAGGTATCCAATGCTTCTTTACGGCAGCGCTGTCTGCTCTCAACCATCGATCTGGATTGAAGACGCGCGCATCAGCACCCCATATCTCCTTTGAGTAATGCACCACCCATGCTGCAGTTTGAGGTCAGCCTGGTCAATAAGGAAAAGCATGGAAGTGTTCACTCACGGTTGATCGAAACGATAGTACCCTCAGGTATCTTGCGATCTCCAATTACCAATCCTCCTTTGGGCGCTATACGCGGAAGGCCCATGGGCACTGGACCGAAGATACGAAGCGCTTCTTTTACGCAGGCTTGCACGAAACTATTCATCGTTAGTCTTGCATAGTTTTCTACGGCGATAAGACGGAAATGCCTCCCCACCTAAGTTGCTGTGCATCAGCATAAGACACCACCCGATCCCCACACAATCCCTTTTCTACTGCTTTCACAACCTCCTCATGCGCTCGCTCCCACGCATTCTCATGCCGAATCATATGATAAACAAAAGACTGTATCCCGGCAGCCACTGTGTCCGACCCCGCACCCACAGCCGCAAGCGCCTGTGTACCAATCTCGCGTTTAGTAAACTTATCCGGATGCTTCTCATGCTGCTTGAACCAATACTGAACAGCATCATACCTTACATTCTCATTCTTCTCTCGATCCGCCAACACAGACGTAACAGTATCGAATAGGTGACCCATTGGTAAGATGGACAGCCACGTCATGATGGGATTGGCTAGCAGGGCGATGTTGATCCAGCGGAAGTAGCCCGCTACGGCGATATACGCGTTCAGAGCGAGGGAGTTTGAGATGGAGTTACCAATGTCTTTGCCTTGGGCGAGGAAGCCGAAGGGTTTGGAGAAGACGATTTCGCCGATTACGTCGAAGGTTAGGTAGGATATGTAGATGTTGAGATGCATTGGTTTCTTCGCGGATGCGTACTCGTCCATCCAGTCGAAGAATGATTCGAAGGTGCGGTCAATGTGCTCTTCGGATCGGAGGAGGTTGGAGACGGTATATGCCGCTGCTATGTATTTTGACTTTTCGATCTTTTGCTTGGGGTCGGTGGTGCTCATGGGTGATTGGAAGCGGTAGTCTGGTAAAGCGTGGATCTTGTACCAGTTTGCCTTCCATTCGTGTTAGACGTCTACTAGATCAGTGTGCCTTTCGAAGTAGTACCTTATGTAGAGGGGCTACGAGGATCTTTGCAATTGCATCTGGATGGCTAACGCTCACTTCGTCGTATGATATACGAACGAAGTGGCCTAGGGGAATTGTGAGCGAGCCATCGACAAGCGCTGCTGCATATCTTGTACACTTACCGTGTTGTTCATGCAAGCGTATGAGTTCGAGGTTTTGATCGCCTTTTAGGATCCGATGCATATGCCAAAGACGAGTAAAAGAAGCAGCAAATGGACCTGGTATATCGCTGATGGCGGAGAAGTACCGGCGCCATGTAAGTAGAGTCAAGAGACTGATGCCTGCAATTGAAGTGACTAAAAGCCAGTCCATGTTAATTCGGTCGAGACGACTGATGTCGACATGAGCTTGATCTGCACATTGGGAAGACATGCTGCGTGGCACCTGAGTGGGATGGAAGGATCTGAGACTTGCATACTTCTGGAGTAGCGGGATGCGGCTTTAACCCAATCGGGCTTTAGCGACATGTAGTCGAGGCGGCATAGATTACGGATCGTTAGCGCGGGTGAGGACGGGATCCTAAAGTCCTCCCTTTGATAGGCCGCTTAGTACACTACAATACTGAGTAATACAAAAGTGAATCGATATGCCGAGCTGAGTATACTATCGACCCAGCTTTAGCGCAAGCTCCTCAGGCGTCTCTCTTATGGTCGCTACATGCGCGGTGTATGTCGCACGTCCAGCTCAGTCGTCACAATGATTGAGTTCTGCCGGGAAGATTTTACAGAGTTGGAATGCGACTCCCCGAATCCGAAAGCCAATGGAGCTGGTTGTTTGCGTATCCCTTCCACGAGCTCCACTTGCGACTCGTTGCCAGTCAGTCCTTGCTCGAGCCTCGTTATAGTCCCCATAGAAGCGCGCTTGTTTCGGAGTCCTCGGCGTATCGATGAGAGATGGTATGGCTTTTCGTTCGATCGCTCGTAACTGCCCGCAGAGCTGTATTTGCCTCTGACCTTACCCCAAAGTGCTTTCATCGCGGGTAAATTCACCGCAACAATCGCACATTGGACCTCGAATGATGCCACAATTATCATTCTTCCAGCGTCTATTGATAGGTCTGTCTTCATCGAGGATACCGATAAGAGGATGGGTAGGCGGAGGATTGCGACTGTGACGGAGATGATGCCGAAAGCGAGGACGGAGACGACGGTGACTTTGCGGCGTAGATTCATCTGGAGAGTCAACACGGAGGGTATCGGGAGACAGATAATGTAGAGGTCCATGAAGATGTTCTAAGGGCACGGTTTGTTAGTATGCGCGCAAAGTGCGGTGGCTGAGCGTAGGTAGCCAATACGTACAAGAATAGGTGGAGTGAGCATCATGACACGCATATCGATGCATTTAACCTCGGGATGCAACATGGGATTGAGAATCTTCTCAAACGGTATACATTGTAGGACTGTCATGAGCCTAGATGTCGTCAGTCTGCGGCCGTATGAACTGCGGATACCACCCAACTTACAAGCTGGAGAGGAAGACCGAAAAGGCCAGTGCGAATCCAAGATATACGAAGCCGCGGAAGGTCTGGCCAACAGAGAGCCGAAGATAGAACAGGAGAAAGGTCATCTTGATGACGGAGTGTGCGCCATAGATCACGATCTCTTCGATAAATGATATCTGGATGCTTCCTTAGTCCTTCCATCGCTTATGAGTACGCTGGTGGAGAGCTTACCCGAAGAAGGTCCAGCGATTGAAAACTGCAATTCACATTGCCTGGTCTGTTGAAGTCGACGGTGAGTCTTTGCGAAATCTCAGAAGATTACCCCCAAACTTACTTGCCACAGCCCAAATTCAAAAACAGCTGCAAAACAACTTGATGAACAATACTGACGACCTGGAAGAATAAGCAACGGTGGAGACATCGCAAAGCTGGTCATGTTTTACCAGCACAAGACATGAAGCTGTATCATCCCAGCCCCATGATCTCAAGGCTAGTGCGCGAGAGTAGAATCGGGCGACCGAAGACAGCAAGCCGATTACGAACGTGATGTAGGCGACAACATAAGCCCACTCGAAGAGGCTGAGCACCATACTGAAGCTGCAGGGTCGGAGCTACTGCTGGAGGAGAATGATGAACGAGCACCTCCACAAAGCAGAAACAAAGGGGATGCATCTTGTATCCAACTGCGCGAAGATCGAACCTCCACCCTACACGATGCCCGAAACAGAGTTCACGCATCGACACGATAGAAATTCTCTATCGCCTTTCATCTGGCTCGCTGATTTGCCTGACGCACCGGGAATGCGCACCACGGCACGACATGCGGCGCAATTAAACCCGGACCTGGTAAAGCCATGTGTATTGTACCCCATCTCAGGGGAGACGAATGTTGATCTTATGTCGTTGGGGCGGCAATCTAGATGGCGTGCGTGCTCAGGACGCGAAGAGGCACAGGCTGAGGAGCGCGGATGAGGCCGCGAGGGGGTGACGACCTATCCAACGGTCCCGCCGCCTTGGCAACGTACACGTGTCAGGTGGTACTATCGTCGGGTAACTTGTTCATGATCGCAAATCGGGTGATTTGGGGGGTCTAGGAGATTTGCAGGAGAATTGGAGATGTTGGAGGGTGAGGCGTGGAGGTGTGGCTAGTCAGCAAACGTCGGAAGGGTCCAAACAATGACTAGGAAGGCACGTCATCGCGACGCATTGGCATCGACCACTTAGTAATAGGGATGGCACTACGGATCCAGACTACCTCATTACACATCCTTCACAAACCCAACCTCAATGACCTTATCCATAGGAACATCTAAACTCGCAATCTTCGCTCTCGAGTTGTCCCGAATGAACAAGAAAGCCTTCAAGAAGAACCGGCGGATGATGTTCGTACCGACCTTAACCTTCATCTGCTCTTTACCAATGACGTACAGTACCTCATGGTTGTACGCACGCTCAAGTGCTTCCAGACGCGCAGAAGTAGTTGAGCTACGTGTCGGAGTCGATAAGCCACTTCCGGCAACAGTCTCGGTAGCCAAGGTCTTCTCCGGCTGAGCGCCGGTAGCCTTGGCGGACATCTCACCATCGCGTTCAAGAGCCCGTGCGACGATGTGGTTGCGGACTTTCTCGTAGATCAAAGATGCTAGGTCTGGGGTAATGACTTCGTCCATGTAGCCATGGCGGACTACTAGGCGGTAGCAGTTGGGGACGGCGAGTCGCGAAACACTGTATCGGTTTTCTGGGGCGACGAAAGGTACCTCTAGCGGCCGGAGGTGGAAGAAGACGATGACCTCGGGGATGGTGACTAGTTTGCGGATGAACTGACTGAAGACGATAGGAGTTGTCTCGCCAGCTTTGTCGAAGAAGATGCCGAAACCTTCCATGGTTCCAACAGACTTGCTGCCATACTGTTCGGTCAGCTCTAGGCGGCCGTCTGGTAGTGTCTTGACGAAGTGCGTTGTTGGAAAGCGATCGCTAGCTTCCGCGCCCCATTGTTGCTCTTTGCCAAATCGCCAAAGGATGAATATGGATCCGAGGAGGCAGGCGAGGAGGATAGTAAACCAAGCGCCGTCTGGTACTTTGGTGAGTGCCGATGACAGGTAGGCACCATCCAGACAAGCGATGGTCAGCCAAGGAAGAAGCACAAAGTACGGCTTGATGCGCCACACTAAGATTGCAACGAGGGTAACCATGCAAGTGTCGAAAAATGTGACGAACATTACGCATACGCCGTAGGCGTTACCCAAGGAGGTTGTGTTGTTGTAGATGGCAGCGACAAGTACAGTGCCAATCATCAGTAGCCAGTTGATGCTTGGGATATACAGCTGTCCGTGGTACGTTGTCGAAGTGTGGACGACCTTAATCTGTGGGAAGTACGAGAGCTTCATGATTTGAGTTAGGAGTTGGAATGTCGCCGTGATCATGGCTTGCGACGCGACTATAGCAGCAGCTATGGCTACGATGAGCGAAAAGATGAGCCATCCCGGCGGGGCGCAGTTGTAGAAGGGGTTGGAGTATGCCTCTGGGTGAACGCTGATGTAGGCAGCTTGGCCACTGTAGGCAAGCAATAAACACGGGTAGGCGTATCCGAGCCAACTGATCTGTACAGCACGGCGACTAAAGGCACCGATATCTGCGAACAGGGCTTCAACGCCTGTAAAGGCCAGGAGTATACCGCCGAGACTGCGCCAGCCTTCGTATTTGTTCCGTATCAGGTAGTCGAATGCGTAGAAAGGATTGAAAGCTTTTAGAATCGCGTAGTCATAGCTGTGGTCGTCAGTCAACAGTACTTAAGAAGTCATAAGAACACATACTTGGCAAGGTTATATATTCCAAATCCAGCATTCAAGGCCAGCCATACAATGACGATGGGCGAGAAGACAAACGTCAATTTCGTGACACCAAGCGGCTGCACGACGAACAGCAGAACGAGGATGGCGCATGTGACACCGATGATGGTGGACTTCTCGATATCAGGCTTCACGACATTAAGACCTTGAACGGCACCCAAGACGGATTGAGCTGGAGTCAGAACACCATCAGCCATGACCATCGATACGGCCAGTACACCGATGACCTGCAGTAGACCGCGAAAGAACTTGGACTTTTCGATGGTTGAGCGAATGTTCCTTGTGGACCGGCCCAGAGTATCGGTATTGTGCCTCTCCATTCCTGTACGTAAGTCAGTAGAGGGAGACCTAGGGCGGAATGCACACTCACGTATCAGGGTGGCTTCGCGTGGATCTCTGTTCGCGATATTTGCCTGCATACATCAGTGACTGAGGATCTCACACAGGTTGTTTGACGTACATATTTGGATAGAAGAGAGTATGTGCTAAACGTTCCTCCTTCTCCATCGTTGTCGGCGCGTAGGATGATCAAGACGTACTTGACGGTGACCATCAAGGTGACAGACCATAGTATGAGGGAGAGGGCACCGAGCAGGTTGATCCGATTAGGTGCCTCCGTAAAAGTCGAAGAGTAAACATAGAGCGGTGATGTTCCAATATCGCCATAGATGACACCGGTAGACTGGTATGCAAGGACGAGGATCTGTGTCAGACTGAAGACCTGCGTCGCGTTAGTGAGCTGGATCACACCGCGACATGTGCCTCCTTACCTGACTGCGCTTAAAATCGCGCTCATCGCGCAGACCTGCATCTTCGTCTTCCGCGTCTTCCAGTTCGCTGATCTTCGCATCAGCCGAAGTCCGGTTCGCGTGCGACTTGGTGCGTGAGCGCATAGG